ATATGTTTCTTGTTGCTATGATACCGTATTAACCCTCTGGGTTTTGATAATCCCCACACAAGGATATATTTTTTTTCCAACTGATATATGTGACACCTTCCAGGTGGTTCATATTCATGTTTGCTTGCACTGAACGCTGCAGGAATCTGTGGAATGAGCGAATAGAGTAATAGACTATTTATCAGTAGGGACAAAAACTATGACCGGCGGATACGTCTCGATTGCGACATACAAAGAGTCTGGATAAATCTCTCAAGATTCCCTGAAATATACACAAACCGCCTGTCGGTTAAACCGCATGATCTGCTTAATGTCCAACGGTTTTCTACACTAAAGACCAGCTTTTTGAGGATTTCGCTTAAATGTTTTCATTACTCTTGGAACATGATTAAAGTAGCAAAACAAATGAAGCCACTGGATACATTCAACACAAACTTCTACAATGACCTGAGTGACTGAAACCCTTAAGTGAGCCAACGCTGAACGGATCCTTGGTCATTGGTCAATTAGTAGGGAGGCTAAGCACAGAGTGATCTTCTGACAAGCTAGTAAATCCAGACGCCTGCAGGGCCTCACAACTCAAGAATGTCCCTCCCCGGCACACATCACTCACTGTCCTGAGACACGCGACAAGATCCTCTGACTATGAGCTTTCTAGCTAAAAACCCTTATGCGAATATCGCAGATCCAGTGTTGGTTGTTTTGTGATATGAGTGCAGCTGTTTTCTAAAAACTCTGGATTACGTTAAAGGTCTAAAAGATTGTGCTTGAGGATAAATAATATTCTGAGGAGAAAATATGTACAGAAAGCTTAGAATCAGGCAAGTGAAGACTCCTCCGAGCAAAGCGTCAGGGCAGCATGTATGTGCCTGTGCTAGTGGTCTCCAGTGCAGGTGGAAGCTAAAGGTAATTTTAACCCACTCCAGGCACAGGAAAGACACGATTATGAACAAGCATGTTTAAAGTGCACATTTACAGACATAAGTACCTCTCAGCTCATGTGAAGAATGTGTGTCAACAAATCAGTGAAATATTTGCAACAGTGTAGCAACAACATTTGCCTATTGATGATGTCATTAAAATTGATGGATAAGGCAGGAAAACACATCCTGAATAGAGTTGGCAAAAACAGGACAAAATACAGATTTTGGGAGATTTATTGAAATAAGTCTGAAATATTATGAAATACTATTAAAACTTAAAATAACTATTTTCTATTTTTCATATACTTTGAAGTTCATTTATTCCTGTGATCAAAGTTGAATTTTCAGCATCATTATTCCAGTCTTCAGTGTCACATGATCCTTCAGAAATCATTCTAATATGCTGATTTGAATCTGACTTGTGACTTTTAAATCCTATAAATAAAGCAAATTAAAATATTCTTAAAGCTCACTTACTTGTACGGGTCATTGGGGTCTTGAGCATTACAGGCCTCGGCGTGGCCATTACACACGCACCTTCCTCCAATACTGATGTCTTTAATACTGTAGTAATACTGAAGAATAAATGCAGAAAATGTATGGTTTTGTAATGGAGGTTTGTTTGCAATTTTTGTCTATTCAAAACAATGAAGAGGGGTCTGTCTTACTCTTCGAGTGACTGTGGGGTCTCTCAGGGCTTTGCCCATCAGGTGACCCAGCAGTGTGTTGGTGCGGAGGAAGCGCAGGCGGATGTTGGTGGCTTTGGTGAACTCCCTCAGAACAGGAGAGTAGGAGAAGTTCATGGCGCCCGGTCGTCCGTTCACCAGAGACACTACAATCTGAACGAGAGTGATTTAACAATGGCAAAAGTCCGATTTCACAATGAAGTGTCTATAAAAGTGCTAAGTGCATCTGCAGTGTTGAGACAGAGTTTGTCTGTGTTCGTACCTCTCCATTCTCCAAAGGGACAATCCGCGAGTACTCTGTTGTGCAGATGATATCGTCATCATGGTTGATCCGCTCGATCGTCCTCTTGCCAAACCGCTCAATACAGTCTCTCTTAGAGGCTGGAGCAAAAACAGAGACATTGTGCAAATCAGTTGAAAAAATATTTTAAGTCACCATGAAATAACAATGTACAATTCTTGATTTGTTTATAGAATATTGCAGTATTTATTATAAATGATTTATCCATTCACATCATTTTTTTTAATGAATGTGCCTTCAGACTCACGCAATTTGCCGAAATAGTATTTAAATTTGTGAACTTTGATCATTAGTTGACTTTGGTTTGATTCTTGATTTCTTTAAGTTTTATTATTAAAATCAAGTTTTATTAAGATTATTAGTATCTTTAACTAATTCCATTTAGGAATGTCACAGTGAAATAAAAAAAAACGAGTGCTTTAATAATATTATGATACCTATACTTTTTTAACAAAATGTTACCTAAAAAAAATTATTTTAATATCAAAACATTATATAAATACATTTAAAACTAATATGAACAAATAAATATAAACAATATAATAATATTAATATTATTTAAATTAACATAAATTAACAGTATATATATAAAACTAAATTTAATATAAATTAGTACATTGGTAGAAACATTACATAAATTGTTATATATATTCACTATTTATTCACAACATTATTTGTAACATTCGTAAATCTGAACTTAACTAGAAGTACTTGTTAAAATTGTCCCAATGTATAGCTGTTCAATGTTAAACTAACATTGAGTTTTCCAACTAGTATTAGCAGGTAAGTATATTGCTTAATGTTTCCTTTGTTACACCAATATTAAATTTAAATCTGGATATTACTCATAATATAGCACATCATCTTAAGTTATGTGGCTATTTTCCCTAACAAAATAAACAATTGCTGAATGCAAGGCAGACTCTAGACTGAATATTAGAGTATCTATAAAATAAGCTACTTATGAAATATACGACACACAGCAATCTGTCACCAAATGTTCACTCCATCTTTCTCTAGTGTCATTGTTTTGTACAAAGTCGTGGAGGAAATATTGGGTTGATGGACTGTGAGTTTAACAAAACAACTGAAAATTACATTTGATTATGCTGATAATGTCAGAATGCCTCCAAATGCCAGCCAAGGGGTGTAGTTATTGTTGCTAGGATTGTACACCTACACTACTGATGGACACAATATGTGTGTTTGCAGACCCTAGAGCCAGAGAACAGAAAGACCTTTCCAAAACCTGACCTTTCTCACTTAACCCACACTTTCATTCCTATAATGCATTCCTTTCAATCACTGAAGGCCACACAATGTTCATGAAGCTGTTTTCATTACTACCGTAAAACTTCACGCATATTAATCAAATCAAATGACAATACAAAAAAGTTGGAAGACCGCAGTTTCACGTAGAGCATTTGGAGATTTTTAGAGATTATAGACTCAATGAACAACATCTCAACACTAAATTACAAAGGCCGGTCTCATATAGATGCCTGTCTCAAATACAAGCCGCTGCAGTTCGACGATTTGGGAAAATAAAATCCCGGGCTATTATTTGAAGTTTTACGGTGTGTTGAAAACCAGAGGTGAACATAACACACAAGAACAGTGAAAAAAAAGCTAATTTCGGTTACTCACAGGCGAAGAACTTCCATGGCTGGTATGTTTTCCCAAAGTCAACGGAGCGCTCCAGAACCCACAGGTCCGGCCGGGGCGAGTTGGCAAACTTGATGAGCACGTATGCAACATGAAAAAGCTGTGAAGAAGGAAAAGAATTCAATATAAGTTCACAATATGAATAATGTCTTATTTGCATAAAATAATTTATATCTGCATTACTGAATATTAGCCATCAGCCATCTTGCTTTATTAGTACCAGCAATGGCCAAAGAACAAAACAAATTGGTGACAATAAATTTAGAGACAATAAACCACCCCTAACACTGTATAATACTTTAGTTTAACCTTGGTTATACAGTACATGCATCCACTGGAGATGAAGATTGAAGCTCTTTCTATACCTTAATGGAGCCAATGACATCACCACCACCTTAAACTTCCTTTTCACATAAAGTCATCAAATATCAATTTCAATCCTGTTTCTGTCTTTTATATGACTGATAGATTGATAAAGTGTTTGAGGTTCACAGATGTTCTCCCACAGACTTGATCAAAGACATGGACATAATTGGACTGTTTTCCCTGAACTCACTCCATAAGCATGACTCAATCAACATACAGTATTTCTGCCCCAGAGAGAAAGAAAGAGGAAGTAAATGATCTCATGACTTTTAAATGATGTCATGCTAAGGGGTAATGTGGAGATTAATATATACTACATTTGCAAGTATAACCAATTTGGCTGTAAGTCATTTAAACATTTTTTTTTTTAAATACAGCCTTGCATAACAAAGAAATGTGTTAAATAAATCAAATCATTATTATAATTTTTCTTTGTTTACATAGGCCTACTTATCTGGGCATTTAGTCACAGTCTGTGAAATATTTTCCGGTTTTATGGTTGTCACATAACAAAATATTTTGTGCTTGTTGTTTTTACACTGCTGACTTACATTTGGGGTATACATCACTAAAATGAATACTAAAACTAAAAATCATGTCAAACTAGAAAAAAAGGTATTTAAAAATACATTTTAATTCAGAAATGACAAACGAGGTGTAATTTCTGAATGCAATACCGGATACATTATAGATTTATAAGAACTGTATCATTCTTGTCTAAAGAACATTGAATCATGGAAAAACATGGATCATGGAATAAAAATATTAATGGATCATGATCCATGGAAATCATTATTTCCATGGATCATGGAATAAAAATAATAAGATAAAAATATTTCAGTTTCACTTTATTTGGATGGTCCCCAACACATTCAGTTGACTATAAGTAACGTTGCACCTACATCTCTAACTCTCACCAGAGTGTTAGTAGAGTATTAGTAGACTGGTAGGGTTAGGTATAGAAAAAATTGACATGTAGTTGTAAAGTTACTTATAGTCAACAGAATGTTCAAAAGGGACCATCAAAATAAAGTGTTACCAATATTTCTTTCAAATTTGTTTACAGGGAGATAACATTTCTGATGAAAGCCCAAACGCAGATGATCAGCTCTAATCTCCTTGGCCCATTTTAGTGTTATGTGATAACCACAAGACATTCATTTGTCTTCTTTTTGCTATCTCTACCATTCCCAAAACACCATGCGCATTCTCATGGGAACGGCTGTTCTGTATAAGTTTAATAAATATTAAACAATAAGAATAATTCATAATGAGGCATCCTATTATAAATATCAGACATTCTTCATTCAATCTTACTGGAAAAGTGTCTTCCTTAGGAAAGCCAAAGGCTTAATGCTTAAACACCCATCTACTTCCTCTCTAAGCCCCTCAGCTCTGACAACACAGAATCCCCTTCAACACACACACACACACACACACACACACACACACACACACACACACACACACACACACACACACACACACACACACACACACACACACACACACACACACAAAGCCATCCCCCACCATCTACACTAACTTCCACAAGCCCTCAATGCAATGCAATGCAACCGAAAAGCCCCACTGCTACAAAGAAGCACTTCAGCCACATCAGGGGCTTTGTCAACGCAAGCCTCCTCACAGATACGCAGAACAAAAACACATCTGTGGAAATATCTGACGGGACTAGCGAGGTGGAAAGGTGGGCGCTTTGAAATGGGGATCAGATGCTCTTTCTTCCATCTGCCAGACGGCCCGCTGGTCACAAGGGTGTGAATGAACCTGAACTTTAGACTGTGTGTGTGTGTGTGTGTGTGTGTGCCTGCATTTGACATTTACTAGGACCATGATGAGAGATGCAACATGCTTCTGTCAAGAGGCAGGAAGCTTTATATGAGGATGAGATTATATCTAACCATTTGGACCCATTTCAATGTCTTATGGGCTGTAATGCCTTTAGAGTTAACTAAACAGAGCTTTAAACCTGTCTCTGAGGTCACCACATTTCAAATGATATTTTTTTTTTATTAAAAAGCAACAAAAACTAGAGAGATAATTAAAATGTAGGAACAATAAAGATTTAGATGCACATTTTTATTCTTTCTGATGAACAAAATAGTGGTTGCCACAGGAAAAAAAAAAAAAGTAAAAGTCTCTCTGGCTTGAAGCAATGGTGCTCTGAGTGGTTTTAAGTGCTTGTTACTCGATGCTAGGGTGTTGTGAGTAGTTTCTAGGTGGCTATTTACAGGAAAAAGCTCTTTATTTGGTTGGGTTGGGCTGTGTTTGCTGCAGAGTGAGGTAAGTGTGTATGACATGTACAATAAAAGTCCAGTTGTGTTTAATGATTGCACAAATTCCTCTTTGTGTTGCCACAGTGATTAGTTTGGAAACAGGATTGGGGACTGTGAATCCTTGGCCAATGATTAAGCACCCGAGAAACCAGCAACACCTTCGTCAACAGGGAAAAAGGAGATGGAAATGAAACGTTGTTGAACTAAAGACAAAACTGAACTTGGGTTGATATTTCCAAAGGGTTGTTGCCTGATTCAGTTGTTTCATTCTGGAATAAGTGCTCATGTGTTATGTGGGGCATATTGAGCATCATTTATTTAAACTCGTTTTGACTGTATAGAAGCCTGTTGAAGGAATAAGTGAACAGCATTGGTGATGGTGAGCTGTTCTGTGCATGTCTGAACATGCTTCAAAGTGAATGTATGTCCGGATAAAGTATGTTCATTTCCTCTCCCACACCCTCATCTAGTACACGCTTTTCCCTACCTACACCTACATATTGTTTCGGTAACACTCTACTTAAAGTCTTTATGTATAATGTACTTATTATAATACTATTATAATTTATGTAATTACATCTATAGTAGGCATCTGTAGTATATAGGCTGGCGCTCGTTTTGGCCTCAAAATCAATCTGGCCAAAACCAAGTGGATGCACAACGACCAGGTGGCCGACACTACCTTTCATGTCGGCCAGCACCAGCACCAGCACCAGCAAGTCGATAGCTACATCTACTTGGGCCAGGAGCTGACCACCGACCACAAGATTGGTTGAGAACTGGCATGACGATGCCGAGCCGCCTGGGTCAGCTTTGGCTCAATTGCCGAGACGGCCACCAACAGAGCCATCGACCCGGACATCAGGGCCGCCCAATTCAATAGCACCGTCCTGCTGGCCATGCTCTACGGGGCCGAGAACTGGGCAACGACGGCGCCTGACCGGCAAAAGCTGGACGCGACTGAACGCGCAATCGAGCGCCGCATGAGCGGGGTTAAACGGATCGACCACATCTGCAACGAGCAGCTGCGGGCCATGACCAGGGTGGCGGTGGACCTGGCCAACAAGGCTAAGAAGCGCTGGGCCGGGCACCTGATGCGCCGGATGGACGAAAGATGGACGCGCAAGGTCACCGTCTGGTTGCCGATCGACATCAAGCGGCCACGCAGGCGCCCTGCAACATGATGGCGCGACTCGCTACGACAAGATCTGGGACACAATTGGATGGGACTCGCCTAGGACCGACAGACCTGGGCAGATCGTTGTGGTCTGCGCTGACCACCTTTGGCCGGTGAAGACAGACCGATTCTGGATTCTGGATTCTGGACATCTATAGTCAGAACTGCTAACCCTTCCCTTGGTGCTTAACTCACTCTTAAAGGGATAGTTCACTTTGAAATTAATTTTTGATATGTTTTAGCTCACCTCAAGGGCATCCAAGATGTAGGTGTTTCCACAGTATTTTCAATTTTGATATTTTTCGGTCAAACCGTTGTTGTCTGACAGTCGTATAATGGAGGTTTAGGGGGTCCACCTCAAAGAGCATGCACAGAGAAGTCCAAATTAAACATGATTGAATGACTCGACAATGTAAGTACACACTGATTCGCTAAGACACGAAACGAGCGGTTTGTGTGAGAAAACGAACAGTATTTATATCGTTTTTACCTTGTGCTATCACAACGATGTCAAACTGATCTGACGGCACGGGCGCTTCGGTCTGCTCATGCGCCAGAAATGATCGCTTGCGTGTGTGCGTCACTCTTTGTTTATACAGAGATTTCGGAAGTTTTAAGTTTCACTAAACATATTTAGATATACAGGAAACCGCAATGGAAGACGATTTCGGTATATCTAAATATGTTTAGTAAAAGGTAAAACTTCCGAAATCTTTGTGCAAATATTGAGTGACGTCACACGCAAGCGATCACTTCCGGCGGAATGTTGAACATGATTCAGTTCGGTTCAGGTGGACATTGCACAACTGATTCAAATCACTTGGACGTGAATGTGATTACGCGAGGTAAATAAATAAAATAAAAACGATATAAATACTGTTCGTTTTCTAACACAAAACGCTCGTTTCGTGTCTTAGGCCATCAGTTTGTACTTACATTTACGAGTAATTAAATCATGTTTAATTTGGACTTCTCTGTGCATGCTCTTTGACGTGGACCCCATAAACCTGCATTACATGACTGATAGACAAGAACGGTTGGACCGTAAAAAATGTCAAAATTGAAAATACTGTGGAAACAAAGACACCTACATCTTGGATGCCCTTGAGGTAAGCTAAAACATATAAAAAATTTATTTCAAAGTGAACTATCCCTTTAAATCTACCTATACCATAAAACCTGTCCCTAACCTTACCCGTATCCCACCTCGATAGCAGCAAAAGTGTTTTACAATACATCATGAACACAATCCATACAATG